TTTTTACTATTGTCATAAACGTGAAATGTTGGATAAAAAGGTAGTCAACAAATGAATATGTGTATTTTAAAAAAAATAAATTTAAAAAAGAGGATAAATGCTTAATTCGTTCCTTTTGATTACCAATTTTCATAAGGAGTTGGCATAATATTCACCTCCAAGGAGACGAAAGAGATTTTTACTTCTCTTTTACTTGAATAATACCTTTGGCCTTATGGATTTTAAGTTATTCAATATTTTTAAATGAAACAGATTTTATTCTTTCTGATGTTTAAATTGCCCCAAATCTGGCCAATTCTCTACATTTTTAAAAGATGGTAACTAATTTCAAAAAATTTAAAACACTGTAGGGGTGGGTGATATGGCCCAATTTTTAATCTCTAGACTATTTAAGGAGTCCCTAGGTGGCACAAATGATTAAGCACTCAACTACTAGCCCAAAGGTTAGTGGTTCAAAGCTACTCAGAGGCATCTCAGAAGACAGGCCTGGCGATCTGTTTCCAAAAGCTCACAGCTTTGAAAACACTATGGGCAGTTTTAATCTGCACACATGGGGTCACCATGAGTCGGAGTCAATTCAACAGCTAGTAACAACAACATACTGTTTAAGTTCCCTTAAAGGCCCTTTTTATTATTCCTACTTTCCCTTCCAGCTCTCCCACAATCTTGGCCCAAGATCACAGATCCAGTCCGAGGCAAAACTGTAGCTAAAATGCCATCTGCTCATTCCTAGGCTTTCTATTTCACAAACCAATCTCAGCACCCAGAGTCCTACCCCATCTGGAGTCCCCTCAGAGGCAAGTCAGTTAGCTTTGTGGAGCCTCCATTTCCTCATCTGTACAGGGGAGTAAATCATGGCCCTTCCTACTCCAGAGAGCTACTACGAGACTCAGTCGAAAAAATGGACATAAGAACACTTTAATAAACTCTGTAAGACTGTCTACAAATGTAGAGATTACATATTATAGATAAAACCTTTCCATCCTCTCAGGCCCTCAGTTATTCCTTTCCAGGTTCTTCCCCAAGTTGTCTCCACTCCCTCAGAAAAACTCCCACCTCCCAGGAACTCCATATCCTGACTTTGATTGGCCCCTTAGGTCAACTCCCCCTCATGAGCCCTCACCCATTCTTCACTGCTCTTCAGATAAATCATTCCTATCCCTCTGATAGTTCCCTCACTACATTACAGTTTAATCTTCCCAAACTTTGCCCCGCTTCAAATAAAACTATCTGCTGCCCCAACCTCTTAGATTAACCATTCTGGCACGCTTAGAATCCCCAACCCTGACATCTAGGTCAACTGGCATAACAAAGCTTATTAAGAAAATGTTCTGCATCCTACTTTGGTGAGTGGCATCTGGGGTCTTAAAAGCTTACAAGCGGCCATCTAAGATGCATCAACTGGTCCCAACCACCTGGAGTAAAGGAGAATGAACACCGAAGACACAAGCAAAGTATTAGCCCAAGAGACAGAAAGGGCCACATACGCCAGAGACTTCATCAGCCTGAGACAAGAAGAACTAGACGGTGCCCGGCTACCACCAATGACCGCCCTGACAGGGAACACAACAGAGGGTCCCTGATGGAGCAGCAGAAAGGTGGGGTGCCAAACTCAAATTCTAGTAAGAAGACCAGACTTAATGGTCTGACTGAGACTGGAGGAACCCCGGAAAGCGTGGCCCCTGGGTTCTCTATCAGCCCAGAACTAAAACAATTTCCAAGGCCAGTTCTTCAGACAGGGACTGGACTGGACTGTGGGACATAAAGCGATACTTGTGAGGAGTGTGCCTCTTAGCTCAAGTAAATACAATACACCAAAGGGGCAGCTTCTGTCTGGAGGTGAGGTGGGAAGACAGAGAGCGTTAGGAGCTGGCTGAATGGCAATGGGGAATCAAAGGTGGAAAGGAGGAGTGTGCTGTCGCAGTATGGGGTGAGCAATTAGGGTCACATAAACAATGTACGTATAAATTTTTGTATGGGAGACTAACTTGAAATGTAAACTTCATTTAAACTACAACAATTTAAAAAAAAAAAGAAAAAGAATCCCCAACCCTTTAGGGCCTCCTATAATCCCATTCCTTCTAAGCCTTCAAAATTCCTCCAGCTCACCTAAGTCCTCTTTCTATCCCTTCCAGAAGATAAAAAAAAACTAAACCCATTGCCATGGAGTTGATTCCAACTCATAAGGACCCTATACAGCTGTCTGTAAAACCAATCAACCCCACCTACGTCATAAGAGCCGCTCTCATCATTAATTTGTGTTGTTGTTGTTAGGTGCCATCGAGTCTCATAGTGACCCTATGTACAACAAACTGAAACACTGCCGGGTCCTGGGCTATTCTTATTATAGTTTAATTACCAGCATTTAATTACCAATCTTCTATTTCAGCTGCCTTCAACCATCAGACCAATGCTTTCTAATGTTCCCTCCCATTCAGAAGACCCCACAAAACTGAGATAAGCCTAAGGTGCCCCCTCCCCGCCACACACACAAACACACACACACACACACACACACACACACACTCACTCACTCACTCACTCACTCACTCACTCACCAAAACAATCTGGAAGCTCCCATCTCCTCAAATTAAATTTTCCTGACCTGCCCACCTCTCCAACCCCTTAAAATTTTCAATTATCTTAGATTAATTAATAATTTGTGTACCCACCCACATCACACAAATGCCCATCACTCAGACTTCGCCTCTGAACTTGACCACTCACATGCTTTCATTTAGATGTATAACAAAATCTCCAACTGAAGTTGAAAAAAATAACTCCTGATTTCTTCCTTTACCCTACAAACTAAGAGTTTTCAAAAAAACTTCAGTCCAAAAACCATGGAGTCATCCTTGACTTCCTCTCATACCCCACAGGAAATCCTTCAGCAAATCTGACCGGTCCCTTCTACCTTCAAAATATATCCAAAAATATATCTGACCCCTTCTCTAGCATTCCAAGCAACCATTATGTCTCACATGGACTACTTCAGCAGTCTCCTGGCAAAATCTACTTAACAGCACCTAACAACAACTCCTAACTGAAATCCTTATTTCCACTTCTGCCCACTTAAACCTATTCTCTACTCAGCAAGACTGATCTTTTAAAAACACACATCAGATCATGTTACTCCCACTCTCAAAACACTACGATGGTTTCCCAGCACACTGAGAATAAAAGCTACTCTTCACCCATTTAGTTCTAGCCACCTTACTGTTCCTCTAATTTGCCAAGCGTGCTCAGGCCTCCAGGATTTTGCACTTGCTGTTCTCTATGCCAGGGAGGTTCTTCTCCCAGATGGCCATGTGGCTCTTCCTGGCCCTTCATTCACATCCCAGGCTCAATGTTACCTCTCCAGAAGCCTTCCTTGAGCATCATACCAAAGCAGCTCTCGCACCCCACCATCCTTTATTGATCCCCTGGTGGCACAGTGGTTAAAAGCTCAACTGCTAACCAAAAGGTTGGCAGTTCAAATCCACCAGCTGCTCCTTGGAAACCCTATGGGGCAGTTCTACTCTGTCCTGTAGGATCACTATGAGTCAGAATTGACTCGATGGCAACGGGTTTGTTTTTTTTTTGACCCTGCTTTAGGTTCCTGGGTGGCACAAATGGTTTGCACTTGACTACTAACTTAAAGTTTGATGGTTTGAACCCACGCAGGAGTGCCACAGAAGGCCTGATAAACTGCTTCCATAAAGATTATAGCTAAGAAAACCTCAGTTCTACTCTGTAATACGTGGGATCGCTGTGAGTCAGAATTGACTCAACAGCAACAGGTTTGTTTGTTTTGGTATTCTGCTTTATTTTTCTCCCTAACACTTGCATTACCTGATATTGTATTATATACAGGCAATCCCCCACTTACGAGGTATTCAAATTACAACCATCTGGTTTGGGGGGTTTTTTTTTTTGGTACATCTTATTGGTTAGTAATGTCCTGCATACAACGTTGCAGCACATAATTTGCTGATATTATCATTCTCAGATGTTCACTCACAGATGTTTAATGTTATGATTTACTGTTAAAAAATACTGCCATATAGCAGGCAATAATGAAAACTTTAATAAAAAAAACAAAACAAAACAGGTATTTGACTTAGGTCAGAACCGGCTTACGACTGAGTCTCCAGAATGTAAACCTGTTTAAGTCGGGGACTACCTGTTTATTTTGTTTGGTTTAAAGCTCTACGTGGGCAAGAAACCTATTTAGTTCACTGATACTTGTTCAGTGCCGAGAACAGTGCCTACGGCAGGTGCTCAATAAATATTTGTTGACTGATCAAGCATCTCTTTTAGAGACCTCCTCAATATCCAATATATGCCCACCCTTAGTCACCTGTCCTCTCTGCACAGACCCCCATACCCAGACACAAGCAACCTCTTCACTCTTCAGGCATCTCCGGCCCCTCTAGACTCCGAGCCTCTCAAGACGTTCACTTGAGGTAACTTGCTCCAAAACTCCTCAAAAACCCGTATTCCCTCAGTTTAGCCCACCCTTTAGGACCCACAAGAATGTCAGTTCATGTCTATTGGGGTCACCCATCTCCCCAGCATCCAGCACCCAACAAGTTTCCATCATCTAAGGATGAATGAATGAATGAATGAATGAACGAACGAACGACACCCCTCCCTTCATGCATCCAGGGCCCCTCTTATCCCCTAAGCCTCCTGACCCCCGAATCCCACCTTTCCGGCGTCCGAACCCTTCAGTTTGAATCCTACTGATCCCTTGGGACCTCCCCGTTCAGAAGCCTTCAGTCCCTCGGAACGGATCTCCCATCACTTCGGGACGTCTCCGCTTCACAAACCTTCCAAAGACGTCCCAAATCGACCCCTCCAGTCCCCTCAGGAAGGCTACCATCCCCTGGCACATAATTCCCGCCTCCTCGCTTCAAATCAGACCCTCCCGCTCCCTCAGGGCGGCAAACGCCTCACACCAGACGCCTCCTCCCCGCTCCCTCCCGACCCTCAGTCCCTCAGGCCGCAACGGCTCTGACCGTTTCTGGGCCTCCAGCCCCCACAGGCGGATTTGCCGGTCATACTGCGCCGCCTCCTCCTCGCTGATGCCGCCGCCAGCCTCCTCCTTCTCCACCATGGCGCCGGCTCTCGCTGCCTCTGCTCGGGTCCCGCTCACGCCAAACGCCCACCAGACCCGCGCTCAGCCAACCGTGCGCCCGCCGCGCGCCCTAGCCGCGTCTGCGCCTGCGCCGGGTGGCTACGCTTGCGCAGTACCTCCTCCGCCGGTCCGGCCGGCCGGCACAGCCTGGGCCCACGTGGGAGTCAGCGTCGCGGCTTCAAAGTGGGAAGGGTTGGCAGGCGGACTAGCGACTGCTAGTCACGTGATAGAGCTTCCACCTATAGTGGCCAAGAATGGCTCTTTTATGAAGCGGGGGTGCTCACTCGGTCTTTTATGAGGTTATTCAATTCAGTAAATATTTGTGGAGTGTCTGCTGAGATCCTAGCATGGGGGATGAGTAGGGGGGGGGTTGCGAAATAGACTGGGGAATAAAATAGACAAAGCCCTACACTCATGGAGCTTACAGTCTATGGAGTACGGCCTAGACAAAAAAAAATACAAATAAATAAAAAAAAACCCGTTGATGTACAGTGGATTCCCACTCAAAGCGACCCCATGTGTTTCAGAGTAGACCTGCACTCCATAAGGTTTTCAGCGACTGTAATCTTACTGAGAGGAGCCCTGGTGAAGCACTGGGCTGCTAACCAAAAGGTTGAGGGTTAAAACTCACCAGCTGCTCTGCGGGAGAAAGATGTGGCAGTTGGCTTCTATAAAGATTACAGCCTTGGAAACACTATGGGGCAGTTTTACTCCGTCCTATAGAGTGGCTATGAGTCGGAATTGACTATGACAATGCGCTTGGGGTTAACCTTACTGAAGTAGATTGCCAAGTCTTTCTTCCTTGGCACTGCTGGGTGGATTCAAGCCATCAACCCTTCAATTAGTAGTTGAGTGCAAACCATTTGTGCCACCCCCCACCAAAAAAAAATCACACCCATTGGCACTGAGTCAATTTCGACTCATGGCAACCAATGTGTTAGAGCAGAACACTTCCATAGGGTTTTCATGGCTTCAGTCTCTTCAGAGAAGGAGCCTGGGTGGCGCAAGCAGTGTGCAATCAGCTGCTAACCTAAAGGCTGACAATTCAACCACACCCAGTGGCTCGGCAGAAGAAAGGCCTGGCAATCTACTTCCATAGATACAGCATAAACCTTTTGTATCACCCACAAACTAAAACCAAATCCATTGCCACGCAGTTAAGTCTGACTCATAGCAACCCTATAGGAGGAGAACTGCTCTATAGGGTTTCCAAGGCCGTAATCTTTATGGAAGCAGACAGCCACATCTTTCTCCAGTAGAGCAGCTGATGGGTTTGTACTGCCCAAACCAAAAACCAAACTCATTGATAATGAGTCGATGCCGACTCATACCGACCCTATAGAACAGAGTAGAACTACCCCATAGGGTTTCCTAGGCTGTAATATTTATGGGAGCAGATCGCCAGGTCTTTTCTCCCAAGGAGCAGCTGGTAGGTCTGAACGGCCTACCTTTCGATTAGCAGTGGAGTGCTTAACCACTGCACCACCAGGGCTCCTCAAATGTTGCTTTACCTCACCTTCTCCTAAGTCCTTTCCTGGCTCCTCAGTGCATCCCTCAGCCATGACTTTAACCCTTATCCTACCCTAGAGGATGAGATGGGTGGAAGTTCAGGGGTGGAATGGGAATAGTTGACATTGTTTGATCATTTTTATTTTATTTCATTTTTTCACAACTTTTTATTTTGAAGAATTTCAAGCTTACAGGAAGGAATGTTGCTGTTGTTGTTAGGTGCCGTGGAGTCAACATAGACTCATAGCGACCCCATGTGTTCCGGAATAGAACTGTCCCATAGGGTTTTCTTGGCTGTGATCTTTACAAGAACAGAATGACAGGTCTTTCTCCCTCGGAGCCACTGAGTAGGTTCAAACCATCAACCTTTCTGTTAGCAGCTGCATGCTTAAACATTGCACCAGCAGGAGTCCTTTAACAGAACAAAATAGTCCAGTGAGTGCCTGTTTATCCTTTGCCTAGATTTACCAGTTGTTAGCATTTGGGCACACTTACTTTTTTCTTTCTTTGTCTCTCTGTCTCTCTCTCTCACACATACACACACCCCTGCACATGCGCAAGCAGGAAACCATTTTAGAGTGATGACAGATTTTTAAATCAACGTAGAGAAAAGTTTTGAGAACATGCCCAGGCTATGCAGCTAGCAACTGAGAGTCTGTAATTTAGTAATTTCTTCTTGGAGAAATGGCTAATTCTAGGCACTGAGGCAGGGAATATATAAGATGAGCCTGGAGCATTCTGCAGCACCAGAAAGTAAAGAAGTGCTCAGAAAGCACAATGATGGCGGTACGTCAGAGGGACACAGGAACTAGCTGGAAAGGTTCAAAGTGGCCGAAGATGGAATAATTTGAGCAAAAAAATAAAGTATTATTGGATTAGGAGTCCCTGCATGGCCCAAACGGTTAATGCTCAACTACTAGCCAAAACGTTGGCAGTTCAAACCCACACAGAGGCACCTCAGAAGCTAGCCATCTGCTTCTGAAGAAAACCCTACGGAGCAGTTCTACTCTGCACACGTGGGGTTGCCATGAGTCGGAATTGACTCAATGGCAACTAACAACAACAACAGTATTGGATTACAACCTAAAGTATAAAATAAATATCCAAGAGTCCATAATGATGTAAGTAAATAATTGAAAAAATAAATAAATGGGGGGAAGAAACAAATCTCCCATACAGAATTCCAAATAAGTTATGTAGATATTCTCCCATCAAGAGGTGGAGCTTAACTCCCTACCCCTTAAGTGTGCACTGAGCTTAGTAACTTGCCTTCAAAAAAGTAAAGTACAAAAAGGGAAAATAAAGTAAGTTTACAGTGGCAGACATTACCTCAGCCAGGTGATCAAGGTCAACATCAACAGTGATGACTCATGTTGAACAATGTACCCTTTGATAAGATGTGACGAGAACGGCACCTTACCTCTGTGGGCTTCCTCCCCAAAACCCATATCCCCGATCTAATCGTGAGAAAAACATCAGACAAGTCCCAAGAGAGGAACATTTCAACTCCTAGCAACCCCATGTGACAGAGTAGAACTGCCCCATAGGGTTTCCTTGGCTGTAATCTTTATGGAAGCAAATCACCAGGTCTATGTCCCGCAGAGCTACTGGGTGGGTTTCAACCACCAACCCTTGGTTTGCAGCCAAGCACTTAACCCAGGGGTCACCAGGGCTCCTTATGTATATGTATATATACATACATATGTACATGCCAAAAAAACTCTACCCATTGCCTGTAGTCGATTCCAATTCATAGTGACCCTGTAGGACAGAGCAGAACTGCCCCATAGGGCTCCATATATGTTTATATAGAAATAGAGAGAATGAGAGAGGGGGTGATTTTAAGGAATTGGCTCACACTATTCCAGAGGTCTGACAAGTCCAAAATTTCTAGGTCAGGCAACAGGCTGGAGAGTCCTGTGGTCTTGTGCCCTAAAATCTGTAGGTCAGGTGATGGGAAGAGCAAAGAGTGAGAAGTTCTGGCAAAATGTCTACTTAACTTTGAAGGTAGAATATACCCTTTTGCTCTGAAGGGCTTCAACTGATTGGATGGACCCATCCACATTATGTAGGGTTGCTGTGTATGTTTCTATGATGCTTTCAAATCCCATAAGTTGTAAGTCACTATTGTGCTTCAAAGTACACATGTACACACATAATATGAACTTTTAAATAGAAATATGTCTACATTTCTGAGGTCCTCTAACATTGACTATAAGTCATTAGACTCCTGTAAAATCATGAGGAAGTTATTTAGAAAATTTCTGAACTTAGACATAGAAACATGTGAAGTATGTAAAGAACTATAAACAATCTTTAAGCTCACTTTGACCCAGCATGCTGTGATACAGGAAAATATCATACAAATCTAACAACCTCCCTAATCTCTAACCTTGATGAGAAGAAGCATCATTTGGCTACTCTCTAACTGTGGAGAAAAGACATAACATACTAGCCTTTGACGTCACACTGGCCCTTGTCGTGTGGAGTCAAGGTGACAAATTCACATATAAACCCCGAATTTCTGCTCATTCACCAAAAGAAGGCAGAGATGGAACTGAGATTCTGTCCACTGCCACCGACCTTGGATCCTAGCTATGAAGGACCTCTGCCAAGTTCAAGCCATGGTCAAACCTTCCTCCCAAGACTTTTTGTTAAAGGTAAAAGCCTGAAGTCTGAAGATTTACACTCTAACCATTGAACCAATATTGTAATTGTAATTGTTAATTCTAATTCTACAGTTCTAAATGAATGTCGTGAGGTCTTACTTGTGTGCCTTGGCATGACTACCTTGCAATAAACTAAACGGGCTTAATGTATGACAAACCTGAGTATCTCTCTATTAATTTTCTAAGATAAAATCCTACACTACAATTGTCATCTGCATTAAACTTAAAAACCCACTGCTGCTGAATTGATTCCAACTCATAGCGACCCTAAAGGACAGAGTAGAACTGCCCCATTGGGTGTCCAAGGGTGCAGTCTTTATGGAAGCAGATTGTTGCATCTTTCTCCCATGTCATCTGCTTTACTTAAGATTAATTGATTTAGTCATGTGTAACTACTTCGTAACAGCATCTACACTAGTGTTTGTCCAGACAACTGGGTACTGTAGTCTAGTCAAGTTGACACATAAAATTAACCATCACACCAGCCAACACCTTGCTTTCAGCCTGTGAGACCCTGAGCAGAGGACTATCCTATACCCAGATTCCTGACCTACAGAACCTGTAAGATAGTAAGTATGTATTATTTTAAGTAGCTACATTTATGGTTATTTGTTACTCAGCAATAGATAACTAATACAAGGAAGAAGTCCCTGGGTGGCACAAATGGTTAAATGCTTGACTACTAGCTGAAAGGTTGGCAGTTCAAACTCATCCAGAGGCACCTTGGGAAACAGGCCCAGCAATCTGCTTCCAAAAAGTCACAGCCTTGAAAACCCTGTGGAACAGTTCTCTGCATACATGGAGTTGCCATGTGTCAGAATTGACTCAATGGCAGCTAAGGACAAGGACATCAGTTAACATGAGGTCAGACCAGAGTAGGGTGGGTCCTAATCCAATCTGAATGGTAT